AAGACAACGAGGCGAATTCATTACCTATTAAATAATATACGAATAATAACAACTATTCACAATAATTATATTGTGCATATTATAATATCATTATCATGTGTCGCCGTGAGGAACCGTGTATAGGTACATAAGATTTACGATTGCCTATAATTTATTGATGAATGTTACAATACAAACTCACGCGAGTGTATACAACCTTGAACTTGACTCCACGAGGTTTTGCAACGTTCTAATATAAAAACGGAAACCCGTTTTAAAAAGCAGCTATGTTCGGTGTCGATTTGTTTGTTTATTTATTTAACGTTGTTCTAAAGACTGAAAACGTTATTTGTTTTTTTTTTTCTTTTCGAGACATTAAGAGAAGTACTTACATAATATTATTAACTCGACGGTTTTTGGATTGCCACGCTTGGCATAATATTAAGTTTTGACTTTTGAATTATGAGTCTTGATGCTATCAAATTTAGAATAATAAAACGACACGACACACGTCACACCCAACCGACGATTTATCCGACGATATGAACGATCCGATAAGATCTGCTACGACGCCCTCACGTGGTCTCTGCAGTTATCATACTTATTAGCATTGATCAATCAATAGTATTACAGCTTATTATAGCTACTGGATATACTTCCCGTGGCTGTTGGTAAACGAAGTTTTTTATCGGACGCCGATACAAATGTGCAGTGACAACAGTAGTAAAACAATTATCATCTACGTTCATTGTTAAGACACGATAGCCCTTATAATTACAAAAAAAATGGAAAATAATATTTTTGAGGGAATACAATATATTGATTTTATATTTTATTGTTATTTGACTTAGTATTCAACTTTCAAAATAAACAAAAAAATATTGTAATTTAAAATTATGTTTAAATTGTTTAGAGACAATATTTAGACATATCGATGTCATTCCCTCAAAAATATTATTCTCTATCTTTTTGTAATGGGTACATTTACTCAAAGATTACCTAAATACATAGAAAAAATGATTCTGCGTAAATGCGTTTTGTCTATGTTACTCGTGGGCCAGAGAAAGAAAACAAATAGTGCGCTGACATCCTCTTAATAAAATTGTTTCCGCAAACATGGTTGTGGGTATATTATACGTTATGGTTTTAATGCATTCTACACTATCTGAAATTAAAACAAAAAGCTCGCGGTCTTTAGTGTTCATATAATTAATAGGTAAATAATAATTATAGGTGTATACCTATTAACACGCATAGTAATTTATTATAATAAATACCTATTAATTTCCCAATCAATGTTACTTCAAAATGTGTAATTTTTTTATAAACTTTTTTAGGGCACCATTTTATGGAATCATTCCATCATTATAATGGAATTTGAATAATTATTACATACCTACCATAATATTTTCTTGGATAATATTCCAATGGGCGTATAATGTATGCAAATTCCACCAGAAAAAATAATTTTTTGACCTGAAAAAATTAATGTGAATACCATCGATACTAAATTAATGTAAATTCCTTTAAAAAATGACATTTGTATGTACATTTTATACTATATTATTTAAATGTACATAAAAAATAAATAACTAAAAATTAATTTGCCAACTATACATATATATTCATATAATTTTATTTTAGTACCACGCTTTATAGTTTATACGCTCTGTCAGAACATAATGCCAACTTTACAGACCTTTTATTTATAATGTACTCTATGAAAATCAATCATTTAACTTGTTGGAGTTGATGGAGTACCTACACAGGTCGTCAAAAGTTAGTACCAGTGAAATTCACGTTTTTAATACAGATAAAAAGTCGTACCTGTAGAATTTGCTTACAAAAAAGATAATTATCTAATAATCAGTGCAAATTACAGTCTCCCATACTAATGTATTCCTCCCTCAAATTGTTTAATGCTTTGTTCATTATTGACGTCATCTTACCTGGTCACATTCTTCAAAAGAACCAAAATATGTATTCGTATTAAACGCGTGTTTCCGTATATCAGTGGTTCCCAACCAATTATTATTGTGACCCTAACATTTTAATTTCAACGTTTTGCAACCCTTAAAAACCCCAATACGTATAGGTAATTATAAACATAATAACTCTTATATTTTATTAACACTAAATTATAATATGAAATAATAAAAATAGAAATTATGAGTACCTTTAACGATTATTTATATAAGATTTTCTTCCTCAATCAATTTTATTAGTCTGCAATTTTAATAATTTAGGAAAATTGTTTTTTTTTAAATATTCAAAAGACCATGTTTAAAAACATGTGAATCATGCACTATTGTGAGTTGTGACCAGGGCTTCAAACCGAAATGATTTTTTGTAGCTATTGGTTTTAGTTTTTCTTTAATTTTTTTCGGTTTAAAAAACCGGTTTATATTGATCCTACATTTTATGGTTATTAAAAACCGGTTAATTTTTTTTTAATAATATGAATAACTATATGTATCTACTACCTACTACTATAAGAAAAAAAATACAACTATACTCTGTTCAGGTTAAGAGTGCCAAGTCGCTGAGACGAAAACTAGTACTGTTCCAGCATGCATCTCGCTACGCGGCTAAGTATTCATGCGCGAGTTTGGGCACTCTTAACCTGAATAGAGTACATATTATAAAATTAACTTTATTTTATAATTTTTATGTTTTAATGTAATAAAATCATGAAGGCTAGATATATCTCTAGAATATCTCTAATCTTAATGCATAAAAGTATAAAACACTGTTACCAACAATCTCATGCGCGGTCTTAGATTATCAAATTATCGCATACTGTGTACTTAATCAGCATTAAAGGCGGCATCCTGTATAATAGTGGTAGAAAACCACCAAGGTTTATAGACTATTATATAAACATTGGAAAAACTCTAACATTTATCACATTAGAAACAGAGTGACCAACATATAAAGTATAAACAATTATAATTATTATTATTTATTTTTTAATTCCTAATTTAAAAATTATTTTTTTTGTTCAAGAATGAAAAATAATTCTGGTTAAACATTTCGTTATCGTTCTATAAAATAATTGATTGTGGTTTCGTTTTCATTCATGTAAATTTTCCAATATAACCGGTTTTAACCGGTTGGAAGCCCTGAATTTGTGACAGTTTATAAAAATCCCCGCGACCCTAATTGTTTTAATTAGACTATATTAATTTCAAATAACAACCATGCCAAATTACATTCAAATCTTTAGTCAATGTACCTTTCAACTCTAGAGTAATGCTCAATAATCAAATGTTAAGAGGACCCGCTGTGTATTGTATCCGTCTTACAAGTATGTAACATAGCAAATTTTACCCTCAGCAGAGCAGGTTTAGCTCTGTTAGTTTAAAAATTAAAGTGAATTGACCTCTTATACAATTTAAAGGTAAGAATGGTAAGATTATTATCTAAGAAATTTTGAGGACTTCTTATTATATTTTAATTTTAAAGCAAGTTATGAGTATTTACTATTTTAAGATGTACAATTTACAATTTTGTAATACTCATAGCTCGCTTCAAAATTAAAATATAATTGATTGCCTGGATAATATTCTTATCTTTAAATTTTATAAGAGATCAATTCACTCTTATTTTTAAACTAATTTAGCCAAATGTAATCTGCTGAACGTAAAATTCGCTAAGTTACGCACTTGTAAGACGGAGACAACACATGCGGGTGCCATATCATCTTAATGAAATTAAAACTTTCAGAAGTAAGTACCTATTGTTCTTCAAAAAATCAATATGCCCCACCATAATATATCTCTAAGCTATCAAACTATATATACAGATCTAAAAATGTAAACCTCATACAAATTTGAACTTGTATTCAATGATGAATGGACACATGCAAACATTAGTATGACTTAACTTGGTGCTGAGTAATGGAGGGTCTTAATAGAGATCAGGTACATGTAGGTACATCGAAATTGGTAGCTATTGTTAAATTTAGTTATATATAATTTGTATTAACTGTCTAGTATATTGGTTTTAACTTTTAATACCTAAATATATCTTAAAAATTACAAAAAAAACTTGAGTGAGGGAGAGTGGCTTAATATGACGTATTAGGGTAATATAAGTATATGACACATTGATGTTTCGATAAGAATTATTGATATTTATGAACCAAATCCGCTTTAAATACGTGACATATAACCTCATACGGTCATACATACAATTGTATACAGTGACCACAGGTTTTGACCTTATCAGAGAATTTTATAACAAAAACGAATTTTTTGTCTAATCAACTTTTTTTTAATAATTTTAAAATATAAAACCTTATGTTTCTTCAATTTTTTTTTTTATTCGACGTTGAACATAAAATGTTAAGCCATACTAAAATTATTTTATTAATAAGCTTATTATAATACTTTTGCCATAAAAACTTTGAAAAAAACTTGTATGATATCAGGCAAAATGACATATTATATTATTTTCATATTTATATTATTATATTAATTATGTTAAAATGTATTTATAAAGTGTTGTTATTTATAATAAAAAAAATTGAATAAACTATTAAATTCCAAAATGTTTATAATTTATCTCTATTGCCCAGTATACAATGGTTGCTTATACAAATATGGTGTATGTCATTTTATCTGACACTCTGGGTGAAATGACAAAGTAGGTACATTTAAAAAAAAAAGGTGAATTAAAATTATTTGTTTATATTAAATGAACAATTATACTTCAGAAATATGTGTATAATACAAATACAGATATGCTGCTCAAGTTTCATATGTTAACTAACATTATTTCTTTCAATTTTTTTAAATTAAAAAGTGATATGTCATATTAAGCCAGTCTCCCTAAGTTCCTACTTTAAAAACTTTTTATGTAGTCCCAAACATTAAATTTCCCAAAAATGAAAAATGATTTTATAATTATATTTAAGTGTAAAATTATGTAACTAGACATTATCTCAAATTTAATCATTCTTAAGTACCGAGCGAATATTAAGAAAATTAAATGTATTTATTTTTTTATTTTTTTTATAGTGTCAGATGCTAGTGGACATTACAGCAGTGGTTATTTCTGGGGAAATACTTTCTGGTTAGGATCGAAAAGTTTGTGTACAGAAATATCAGAATATGATGAAGAATTACCTTTCAAACTAGGATTCAATATAATAAAAACATACATCGCCTTAAAAGCACCAATTAATTTTACGGTAAATATGATTTTACTTAATTTAAAATATATAAATATGTAACACTATGTGCTCCAATTTCATTTGGTATACCGAAATATTACCTTTACCTATAATGTATATACATTATACAATAGGTATGCCTTTGATTAATATTACACAATCAATAGTAAGTTATCAAAATATGTTATATAGGTACCTAATATAAAATTAGTTTTAAATAACATAATACTATAATAGTATTATACTGTATTGCATGGGTCTCCGACCTTTACGGCCCACCAAGCTAATTGGTGTTTTGAAAATATATTAGTTTTTATTGTTTTCAATCATATATTAATTATTATATATCGCTCCCAGCAGCGAAAAAGGTTGTATTTCTATTTTCAATTTTTTTTTTCAAGTTGGTATTACAGTTTTTTTTTACCGCGACACTAATTATAATAAACGCGACATACTTTATAATAAAATGCAGTTACTACCATCTTTGAGGGAACTACAAAAAAAAAACAGTTACAACTTGAGAAAAAAAAAATTTGTAAAAATAAAGATACAACATTTTTTGCTGCAGCGATTATCTTCGATTTCATTACCTTTATTGCCATCTAAAAAAATTTGGCCGTGATGCCCAGATTTTAACCGCCGTATAAAAAGGTTGGAGACCCCTGCTGGCCTGCTATATTGTAAATTGAAGTCAAATTTAGGGACAACATTTAGACTTTAAAGGATAAAACATTGATTGTTATACATTATTAAAAGACGGTTTGTTTTAATTGTAAATTTCACGTTGCAGTTTATACTTTACCAATTACTTTCACATTTATCTTATTCGTGTTTTCGTAAACAGGAGAGATATCAACACTTGGGTTTGTGTTTGCCTTACTCCTGTTCCAAAGAAGACGTGGACGAGATGGTCAATCAGACGCTCCATCAAGACATCCCGGAAAGAGATGTAAGAGTCGCCAAGGTGAAATCGCCTCACGATCACTACGACTTGTTTGATGACAGAGTTTTCTGGCTTCTCGTGTAAGTGTCCATCCCTCCTCCACGATCGTTGTGTTTAAACCGTAATATTATTCCCGTTTATAGAATAATATCCGCCACAACCACGGTGTTCCTGATATTGGGCACGGGCTTAGACATGTACTTGGAGAAAAACGACCGTAACAAAATGAACGGGTTCATGTTTGACAATTACAGGTACGCTGTCAGCAGTGCCAAGTTACAACCGCTCTCAGAACATTCCAAAATAGATTTGGAGTCTGGTAAGCTTGGATTTTTTAATAGGTATTCAAATAGATTGTGTTTTATTTGAACGTGTTTCTATGTCATGCAGAATCTTCGAAGAGCTCTGAGACGTTATCTAAGACCGAACCGATGACTTGTAAGTACATAATAGTATACCTAATAGGTATATATGCCGAAAGTCCTCACCGCAAAGAAATGGATCGTAATGATTTGTTCGCGTTTTCAGGTACAGCCGTGAACATGTTGCTGGCGTTTTCTGTGCGAAGAAACTTAAGACAAATATGCGATAAGTCGATTGGCGAAGACACGATATCCACGGTACATGGTCTCCGGTCACTGAGCATGGTGTGGATTGTTTTGGGCCACGTTTGCATTGTTTCATTTAAATACTCGGGTAACTATCTTCAATTGATCATCATTCTCAGGTCGTCACTCTATCACGATCTACATATACATCATAATGAAGTTCGACATTTATCATACAATAAATATTTGTTTTAGACAACATGGAATTCCGTACCACGGCCGAACGGCATTTGTTGTTTCAATTGATCAACAAAGCGACGTATTCAGTAGATACTTTCTTCTTCATCAGGTAACTTCAGCGTTGTTAAATATTTAAAGATACTTTTATTCGCACCTACAGAAATACTTTTTATATTCGAGTGGTTATTTTTAGTTTTTTTGCTAATTGAAAAATAACAAATAATATAATAAAAAAGTATTATATGTATTTATCCATTATTTAAACATTTTTTTCTTGTGTTATAGCGGACTTTTGGTTTCATTTCTATACTTCAGGACCACGGCAAAAGTTGACGTTAACAAACTGACCAAAACCACAGGTTTTTTGTCCAATTTTATCGAGTTCATAGGACTTTTGGTTTACCGATTCTGCAGGTTAATTATAGCGCCCGCAAAATTACTCGCGGACTGTAATGATTTGTTATTCGATTTCATAATAAAATTCTTAAATGTTTATACTCAGACTTACTGCACCATATTTCTTTGCCTTGGGCGTGGTACAGCTGACAATGAAATGGTTCCATTATAACTCCGTGTTCGACCCCCCGACAGACGACCACTTAAATTGCCCGAAATATTGGTGGAGAAATCTGCTGTATATCAATACTCTGTTCCCCGTTCAAGACATGGTGAGTAAAAGGCTACATAGTAAAGTGCTTTAATACGACCACCCGTCGCAACGATAATGTTACCGTATTTGTTACAGTGCATGCTTTGGAGTTGGTACTTGGCAGACGACACGCAATTCTACATACTAGGTGTCATTCTTCTAATACTATCTGTTCGGTGAGAGATCAAACGATTAATTAAACATAAGCAACCAAAAATAATGTAATACGACTTGTAATAGACTGTTTATACAGGTACCTATACAGTATATAGTATATACACTGATTAAAGTGTTTATATATAATATTATGCCGAGTAATTATTTTATCATTATACACTCAACATTTAAAAAGTTATAAAAAAAAAAAATTACTTTATTTCAATTCTTTAAAAACAACATTTTTAAAAAATATATAGTTTTTTAAATATTTTTTATCCTTAACATTTTTGAATGACAACACATGGAGTTTTCATTTAACATTTCAAAGCAAATGATGCACTGTTGCTATGGATTTCAAACATTTTTTTAAGTATTTCGGTACATGGAAATCATATTTAGGATGATTAGCTTATGAGTTACAACTTATAAGTATTTAAAGTTTAGATAAACGGAAAGGAGCGGTACGCGGAGTCCACTCAAAATATTAGTACACTTGTCTATTCATCTAAGCTTTAAATACTTATAACTCATAAGCTACTCATCTTAAATTAGATTTGTATGTATCAAAATACTCAGAATAATATTCTGCTTTCGAAGATGAAATTAAAACGGTGTTATAATTCAAAAAAGTAAAAAAATTATAAGGATATATTATAAAAAATATTTAAAAATATAATTTTTGAATAAACCTGTTATTTTGTAACGACTTGAAACCATGTAAAAATATGTTTTAAAAACACTAATACTTTTTGAATTACGAGTGTCCTACGTTAAATGAATCAACCGGTATATATATTGACGTTACGTCGTTGCTGCAACTTGCAAACATATAGGCATTGAGCAATGCACATACATTGTGTACATACCCATCAAAAAGTAGATTATTGAATGATGAACATTCAAATGTCTTAAGGTGCCCGGTGCCAATGTAATTTTATCCACAAAAATACACTCTGAGGGAATAATAATCTTGTTATGTAGAATCAATAAAATTTGATAATTTTTTTTTTAAGTAATAGAGTGTATTACTCTACGGGCCGCATTGAACTCAGTTTTCCAATATTTTAATCACAAACTTTATAATATTATGTCTTCAAAAATAATATAATTTTAACCTTACTTTTACAAATTCTATTATACCATTTTTTGAAATCAAATAAAATATCGGAGTTCGACGTGGTCTGTAGAAAATCTTCTTTTATATAAAAAAAAATAGTTATCAAAATCCGACAATTCTACTAGCCACTAGGCCTGAGAATTATTCTTGTGAAGTCATTTTATTCGATATAAATATAATATAATACACCGTATGTCGTATGTGGGTATCCCCCCCATCTCCCTAAATAGGTATCGGGTAGTATCGGTAAAAGTATTATAATTAAGGTTGCAATCAAAATATGTTATTTTCAAATCTTATAGAATTGCGGAAAATGTTAAAAAGCATCACCGGGCCCCTTGGGCCTTACCTCGCGTAAATAGGGAGTTTTGCATTACCAATCGCCCAAAATTATAGATGACTTACAATAATATAGTATCATCATTGATACTTACCTAACGAGTTACGATGCTTCGAGTTTTAATTAAGTACTGCAACTGATCACTGACCATAATACTCATACTTTACATCTGAAACGACCGTTCATGATAAACTTTAAAATTGGTAGAACTGTAAAGGTCCCTTCTCGAAGTACGAACCAATAAATTAACGTTTCCTTTGAAAATTTGGGGTAGAACTTGGGGGAAACTCCACTTATTAGTCAAGTTAGATACACGTTATTATCATATAGATAATAAAATTATTTTCTCAACAAAATAATAGTTGTTTGAGATTCTTTATTTCCAGTAAGACGTTTTATACTTGTACCTAATATAATTACAATATTTTATAATGTAATAATTACATTAAAAAAACCTTCAATATATCACTTTTTGATCACTGCCCAATGTCCCATCAACAAATGGCCTCTTCAAGTTTCAACAAGTCACCACTTATGTCTGTCCTTCACACATCACTTACACTTATTGACTATTGTATACCTAATACAGATTGTGAAGTGAATAATATATTATGTTTAGAAAAAACCTTAATGATTTCCCCTATGATGTCACTGAATAGTGGACAATTGGGTTTTATATAATAAACGTATGCCCCTAGACTCAATTAGCCACGTTTATATTATATGATACACGCCCACAAACAATTTGAAATAATTAATCATTTAATTCTTGTAATTATAGGAATGCAAATTAAAAATCAGTACAATATTTTTTTTTTTAAGACACTAAATTATTTATTAAGAAAGATTGGTTTTCATAATTTCATCTATTTTCGTTCATTTGATTATTACAAATACCTAAGTGATTATTGATGATTGATACTGTACGTCTGTACTCGATTGTTTGTCCCAAGCGAAACCGTTTTCGGTTTTTCTATACTATCTCGTTGTTACGCAACAACCATTGTTGGTACTGATATGAGATTAGGTACTTTTAAAATACTATGTATTATTATTGATGTATTGAATCTTTGAATATTGCAATTTTAATTCATCCAAAAATGTCATTAAAATTGCCAATATAAAACTCCTTAAATAGTGGGTGTATGGGAAGTATATCTTAGTAGGTTTAAAAGAGCCAAAAATACTAAATATCCCACACCAATAAATACTCCCATTGTGAAGTGAGCAAATAGACTGGCGGAGCTATCGACGAGCATATTATATTATGTTTTGTATTTTTAAGACTGCATAGTCTTTGGTATTATAATTTACGGTCGTGTTCAAAACTCACGACACCTATATTGGCTGTTTAGGTATTTCAAAGTATCGGCTGTCATTTTAGTACTTTGTACGGTCGCCTCGTGGTTCACTACCGGATACATAGCGTACACCAACAAGCACATGCCAAAGTGAGTGGACATTTTTTTTTTCTTTCCCGTATTATTATTTCAATAAAAGCAAACCAAAAATTACAATACGCTCTCCGACAGCATTGACGACCCGCTGGCGCTATTCGACAAGATCTACGACAAACCGTGGACGAGACTTGGACCGTATTTCGTGGCATGTCCAATCGGATGGCTGCTGTTTAAGGACTGAGTGCAAATCAAGATGAACACGGTAAGTTTGTTTGGATTTTCGGTTCGGCGACGATATATCACATTCGCGTTTCAATATTTCCAGCTGACCGTGCTTGCGGGATGGACCATTTCGTCGGCGGTGCTCTGCAGTCTGATATTCGGTCTCCATCAAATGGATCTACATCCGGTCGCGGCCGCCGCGTATTCTTCGTTGAGTCACACCCTGTGGGCCCTTTGCCTATCGTGGACAGTGATCGCTTGTGCGACCGGACACGGGGGTAAGTCCCATTCAATTACCAACGCTTACGTACACGCCCCCGCAGTTCATAATTTTCTTAACAATAATTGTTCCAATAGTTTCAATTCAACACCACTGAAACTTGACTTACCTGTATATATACTATGTATAATAACGATGATATTATCTGATTTACAGGTTACGTAAACAAATTACTGTCCTGCAAAATTTTAATACCGTTCAGTCGGACTACCTATTGCGCTTACCTAGTTCATCCGATCATCATTAGGTACGTGGTAATGAAAAGAGACACTCCGCTTCACCTGACCGTGGAGACTGTGGTACGTATATTATACATTGTTTAACCATAATAAATTGATATATTATACAGAGTAGTTCAAAACTGGGTTTGTACCTACTATAACTATATAATATATTTCCACAGTTAAAATGTATTTTAAACTTGTAAGTAACGTTTTATCACCACGTATAAACGTAAGTACCTACGCAAGAGTCAAGATACAAGGCGAATTGTGGATTTACTTTATCCAGTGGCATAATTGTAGTAGAGAGGCAAAAGGTGCACAATATTTTTGCTGGGGGGGGGGAGAAGGAGGCAAAAGAATCATTTTACCCACCCAGATAGGTATGCCTACAGAATAAATCTTAAAATCTTTTAAAATACAGAAAGAATGCATTTAAGTATTTAGCATACAATAAATTATAAGATAAATATTTTTTTCCTCAAATTATTGCATAAAGTATAGGTACCTATTTCACGTTTCTCTTGTTGTATAATATATTATTATATTAATATGTTAATGTATTGTCAATGTTATTGAGTTTCCTATCTGGTTTACAAAAATAACCAAATCATAACCTAATATAAAAATATAAAATCATACCTAACCTATCATCAGAATATTTTTTTCAAATAAGTTATATACCTTCTTTTAATAAACTCTTGTGTAGGTACTAGGTGTCTAGGTACCTTATACTTAATATTATTTAACGATATAGGTATCTAGGATTTGTTTCTAAGTCATAAAATAATATTAGGTTAGGGTTTCAATTTTGGTGAATAAGTTATTTTACACTCCCCCAACAACTAAATACCCTAAAATAGCCGGGCCCCTGTACTCTAGGTCTCCCCCCACCACCACCACCACCCAGTGGGGTATTACTTGAGTGTAACAGAGTTACAGAGTACAGACTACCTCTACTGGTACTTGCCACCTTTATTCAACTCCTTACTACACTAAACTACAATATGGACTAAACGTAAATACAGATTTTAATTCGTTTGGTTTTCAGGCAATTTTGTTTTTGGGACAAATCGTCGTGTCTTACATTTTTGCTTTCATCCTGTCTATCGCATTCGAAGCACCGATCGTGTCGCTGCTGAAACTCGTGTCACCTACAAAGCGGAACAACCACTGATAATTTATATTTTCTGTATTTCATTTCATTGACATCTATGCCTATTATTTTATTTTATTTTATTATTGTATTGTACTCGTGACTCGTTCGCCGACATGACACTAACTCGAAAACGAGTTTTTGTCATCGTGTGAACAAACTACAGATTAGCAAGCTAAAACAATAGAACTTACTACTTATAGTGACGAGAAAACCATAGGTGGAAATCACGAGGTACGGGGGGGTTTAGCCAACCCCCCCCCCCAAATAAAAGTATACAATTTTTTAGTTGTGTGGGATCGAAGCCCCCCCCGCTTACATTGGAGTTAAAAATATTAGCCATCCCTGAAATTGTAATGGATTTCTACCTATGGAGAGAACAGAGTATTTATACATTAGTTTATAATATATTTATGTGTTGATTATTGTTTTAATAACAGAACATATTATTATATTATAATATTATGTTAATAATTGTTGTTATATTAATATAAAAACGTTTTTCGTTTTAAATAGTTATGTTTAAGTGCTTATATAAATAAAAATGTTACTGATTCTTGAATATTATAACTATTATTTACGAACTAGGTTATCAATATAAAATGCAACATCTTTTTTATATACGTTGTATTAATTTAATGTAACAAATTAATTTTAATGTCACAGTAGATTAGTAGATATTTTTATATAGGTATATGATAATGATGCACTGTTTCCTAAATCATTAAATAATGTTATGTTATTCGTTATTGTGTACCTATCTGTTTGCAACATTTGAAAAAATATACGTAAAATGTAATTAACGTTTTGATTTATTTATTTATCCCAACATAATCTAACCACAATGAGCTATTAATTTATCAAGTAAACTATGGAAAAGACTGTTGATTATAATTTATAAATGAATTTACAATCGTTAAACTTCCGTTAAACCACCGAATTTGGCAGGTAAAATCAGTGGGTTAAGCGTAACCGAGGTTTAAACTATGTTTGAAATTGTGGATGAATCGGCATGAAATTGTGGACGTTGTATCACTCATATATACGCATGCATTTTTTCCGACTTACAAACTCATGTCATAACTTTCTAAATTGTTCGTTCTAAATAATTATTTTAACTATGTTATTTAGGTACTTATGTTTAAAGAATGAAAATCAGATTACGCGTTGACTAACTTTAATTTTTTCGCAAAATTTGTATATCTATATCTATATCTAATTTATATGCTATTAACATGTATAAAAAAAAATAACCGAACAAAATGAGCGGTTAATAGCGGGTTTTATTTAAGGGGTAACATTTAGGTAAATTTTTATCTCGTCTTATCCGCTCGGAATCTATGTGTTAGTTGTTGGCCTGGTCACAAGTGTGAGTGAAATTCAATGCGGATACCACTCTTGTACGCTCATGCACATAACTTGTTAACAATATAAAATTCACTATAAACTATTGTCTATGTCTATATCACTATAAAGGCGGTCCCACACGAATGGTATACTGGCCAATATTTGTCACTGGTGATACATGACCAACATTGGTCTTTGCTCCTACACGACTGGTGTATATTCACAATGCCCAGCGCTAGTATACTTGTCATGGTAATTGTATATTCTCCCACATGAATTGTATAGTTGACCAGTTCATGCGTTTATCAAGTCCTCTCAATTAATTAAATTAAATAAGTCAGTTCGAAATGGATACCGAACAGAAGAAGGTCGTTGCTGTTGTAAGCTATATTGCTTTGAGCTGTGCGTAAATACTCGTTAAAAAAAAAAGAAAAACGTAAAATTGGCATGTACCAGTTGCCCTCAAAAGTACCTTTTTTTATACAAATTCCCCCCAAACTACCTAGAGCAAAATGTACCAGTTGCCCTCATATGTAAATATACGATTAAAATATATGTATAGCCCGTAACATAGGGGAGGTAAATATACAAATAATGATTATAAATAGTAATTATTATAACAAAACATAGTACATAATATTATATCTAATTAATTTACTATTTTTTTTTGACAATTATCACATTGAATATGCCGCTTTTCATTATAATTATATTATTTATTATGAATTTTTTCTATCATTTTATACTATTTTTTTGTAGAAAAATTATAATATTGAATGTCACATAATTATAATATTAATTATTTTATTGACTATTGTATTCATATTATTTTGTTAGTAGTTATTATTTATCACAAAATACAATAATAGGTAAATATTCCAAGCATATGAATTTTTTCTATAATTGTATAGGACTATAGTTACTATTTTAAATAATTTTATTTATTATTTGTATATTACCTCTCCTATTTTACAAGCTATATATTGTAATCGTGTATATAGTATATATTAACATTTAAGGGCAACTGGTACATTCGGTTGGGGGCAACTGGTACATGTGGTTGAGGGCAACTGATATATTTATAAAATCCCGATAACAACCTTGGGGGGGCGACTGGTCAACACCCCTTAAAAGAAGATGGTGGATGGTTTCTATTCTTCAAAGTCGTGAGAGGTAAGTCAATTATATTTATATTTATAAATAAAAAAGGTGCTCTGCTGTACAGTAAGTTACAAGTAAGTCACTGTATAATGGATGATATTAAATTTAAATTCGACGAAATAATATCATTGTATAAGAAAAACGATTCTGAGCGGAGACGGTATGTCAGTCTAGGTATAAGGCATATTATATGCTTATCTATATGGTATTAAAAAAAATTGATATATTATAGGCAAATATAATAAATTCCAAATTAATCATATCACAATATCCGTAAGGTACTTATAACACTAACACGTTATACATCAACAACAAACCCTGATACTATCATAGATATATAATAGTGTACTTTAGAAATTTCAAGTACCCACGAATAATATACAATCACAACGAAATAACTAAAATAGTTGTTCTAGGTTTTTTTAATGTAATTTCATCCAAAATCTAACTTAAAATGACTATAAAAATAAACTGTGAGTATGTATTTTTAGATTGTTTGGTAACAGAATTAACTACTTACGTGGAATCTTGTTTTAAATTTTCAATCCTTAGATATAAAAGTTGAACATTTTATAAATTTTTAACTACAAAATAATTATTTAATTTTAAATTTGTTAAATTTTGTCAAAATTCGATCTTTAAATGCTTATAAAAAAAAAATTGTGCCAATATATTTTTAATATTTTTCAACTGATATTGTAACAATATATCAGGAGCCTTGTATTACATTTTTACACTTTTTGGCCCAACCGATAAAACTTTATTGATATTTATAGAAAAAAAACTAGAATAATTGAAAACTGAAAATGTCCGTAAACAGCTCAAAAAGAGTCAAAATATTTCCATCATTGTATGGTGTATAGGAAATGCTAATATAAACATTCAGTGAAATTTTCATGTATCTACAGTTATTCGTTTTTGAATTACAACAAAAATAGGTAAATCTCTACATGAGAAATCGAGTGAATATCCAATGTTGTAAAAATTTGAATAAAACGCTCATAAAAATTTAATTTGATTTTCATATAGACATTTTTTTTTTTGATAAAGCTATATAATCTTATAAGGAATCTTGTATTACATTTTAAAATCTTAGATTCAAAAAGAAAAATTTTTACGAATTCTTAACTCAAAATAATTAGGTAATTTTCGTGATTTTTCCATATTCTGTCAATTTTTGAACTTCAAATGCTTATAAAAAAAAATGTGACTAAGGATTTTTAATATTTTTCATCTGCCTTTGAAACAATATACTAGGAGCCTTCTATTAAATTTTCAAGCTTTCGCAACCAACAAATAAAATTTTATTGATATTTTTAAAAAAAAAAACTAAAAAAAAATGGAAAATGAAAATGTCCCTAAACAGTTCAAAATAAATCAAAATATTTTGAAAATGTTATCGTGTATAAAAAATGCAAATATAAACAACCAGTGAAAATGTCATGTATAAACGTTCATTTGTTTTAGAGTTACACCAAAAACCATTTTAACTAAAAAATAACTCAGACCTATATACCTTTATGTTCTGTATTTTTACAGTTTTAGATTCTGAGTGGAACGATGAATGTATTGATTTTACAATGATGTGTTTTTTTTTATTTTTTTTATTTTTGTGTCTGTCATCACGTTTTAGGACAGTAAAAGTGCTTGGATTTTCTTCAACAGTATCTTTTCTGATATCAAAGTGAATCTAGTTGGTACTTTGGGGGGGTCAAAAGTAAAAATTTCCCAGTAGTTTTCACAAGATTCCTTGTAAGTAGTTTATTCTGTTACCAAAAAATCTAAAAAAATACACAAGCAAATACATAGGCACAATTTTTTTTTATATAATATTTAAAAATCGAATTTCGACAAAATTTATCAAATTTAAAATTCAATAATTATTTTGTAGTTAAACATTTATAAAATGTTCAACTTTTATACAGTTTATTTTTATAGTCATTTTAAATTCAAATTTGGACGAAATTAAATATCAAAAAATCTAGAATAACTATTTTAGTTATTTTGTTATAATTTCATAATATTAGTTCAACTTTTCGCCTAACGTATTAATAATAACTAGGGCTAGGAAAATGAAGCACTAAAAACCTACAATAAAGGAATTAAAAAATTGCCAATAATGCTACAAAAAAAAGCATTTAACCAGAAAAATGCAACTATAAAAGACTTAAACATTTTTAAGTTTAGCTGAAAAAGATTTTTAACAACTAAGTACAATTTATAAATATTGAAAAAAAAAAATTAAAACCTGTTTTTTATATTTTAGGTACCTGTTTATTAAATAAATATTAAAAAAGACTATAAGATATTTTAATTTCTTTGATATTTTGTAATATTTTGAAAACAATTTTTCTGATAAGGCGATAATATTTCACTACGAATTCACAAAATATATATAATTATACAATTAAAATAAATGAAAAAATAATAATTTAGATAAATATTAAGTAAATGTTAAATATGAGTATAATTAACAAAAACCAATCAAAAAGCTAATAAACTGACAAAAAAGTATCAATAAAGCATTTATTTACGAATCAAATATGCAATTTTGTTTTTGCTTTTTTTGCTTTTTCTTGTGATATTCGTAAATAATAAGAAAAAGCATAAAAAGCAAAAACAAAATTGCATATTTGAACTCTGTGATGAATGAATCGAATTTTGTTTTTGATTAGCTATGTCCTGGAGTACTATGAAAGAAAATGCAAATGCTACAAAATCCTAGCCCTAATAATAACTATTAAATAATAAGCAATTACAATACAAATATAATATACCTAAACTATCCTAGGCCAACAAATCGCCTCCACTCAGAATCGTTTTTCGTACACAATGATATAATATATTATTGAATTCAAATGTAATACCATCCATTATACAGTGACCCACTTGTAAAGTACTGTCCAGCAGAGCGACACCCACTTTGCCTACCTTTTTTAACTTCAATAACAACAAAATAACATGTTCTATACCAAAATTATATAATAATTTTACTTATACAGATTATTATTTATATATTTATATTATTTGTTTTAATAAAAAAAAATTTTTAAAAACTCGTACGGCCAGTCATACACCAGTCACCATGTAGTGCCATGCCGTGTGGGAGCAAACAGTTGAATGTGAACATTGGTGGTCCTTTGACTTGTGTCAGGTTTACCGACAATCCACCGGTACCAGCCAGTAAACAACAATTGTACTTGTGAAGCCTCCCATACGACTGGTGTAATGGCACCAGTGACAAATGTTGGCCAAGTACACCAGTCGTGTGGGACCGCCTTTATACAGTTATACCAAATCAAAAACTATAAAAACGGAATACAGAGTTCCACATAAATTGATCATACCCTGTAAAAAAGGTAGTTAAATACTTAAATCTACCGTATTACACTATTAATAATAGTAATATAAATATAAAACTATATATTAAAATACCCTTTAAAATATTATAAGATCAGAATAATCTAAAATAATTTATCAATTAATTCGAAATTAACACAACCATTGCAGTAATCGACTGAATGACAAGGTACAGCAAGCACAACTTCTTTGGTTTTATCAATTTATACCAGATTTGAATGATTTCATATTTTTATGGTTTAGAAACTAATATTTATCAAACTAAATTAAGTTTAATGATAGCATTTGAATAATTGGCTAATTTTATCAACATTTTATGTAAAAATATAATGCCCATAACCCATTCTGAAAACACAAAAGAAAAAAATCAACGATTTAATAGTTTAAAGTAAAATATATTCAAAATTATACTTTTACAATTATTGACCCTTCAATGAATTCAGTCTTTATTCTATTTTACAAAATGAATATAATACCAATTTTATGATATAATATTCCATTGATAACTACATAAATTATGCTTAATTTGATGATGGAAAAAATTACTTTTATAGTTTTTCTTTAAACTTTAAGTGTTAGTAATTTATATATTTAAAAAAAAAAAACAATCTTTTTCTACTTGTAATAAAATAGTAAAATGTTTAAAGTTAAAAACAATTATTGAAATTATCAAGTTATAAAAAAATACACCATATTGTATACTTAATACAAATCAATATGAATAATATTTATATAATAGTAAATTGATGTAATTACTAAATGGACATATTTTCCACTAACACATCAGGTTGAGGTGCATGTTCATTTGATTTTATAGCCTCACTATGTTGAATTCTGAATAAAAGTTCTTCGCTTAAAGTATTTTTGGAAGTATTAGACTCTAATAGAGTTTTAATAATCATTTTTTTCAATTCCTTAATTGGAATAGGATCTTTTGGACAGTCCTTGAACACAAGATCGAGTAATGCTGAAATCAAAGCATATTGCCATTAGTGAATGTATACAAGTTAAAAGCTTTCTTAAAAAGTTAAAAATAATAAATTAATATTTAAATACTAATTATATTTACTTGAACATTTATTAATTTCCTCTTGACCCCATGATTGCTCAGCCAGTGTCTGGAGCATTTCATATCCAGCTTGCTGTATGTTTAAAAATGGTACAATACATGATGCATGGACAATATTTTTTAATGGGTTATCTTTCAATTGTTTGTACCATTTTTTTGTACGTTCGATCATATCATTTCTCGAAGATAGTTCACCTTTCTAAAATATAGTGATTATGTAAGTAAAAATTAAGCCAATAATGTTAACTGTTAAGTCCCAAGTTAAATGTAACACTAAATATTAATGAGAAATAATCTTTAATCTGTTTAAAATATTTGTAAGGTGGATGCCACTTTAATGCATTAATGCACATTTTGGGAAAAACTTGGAGAACAATTTTATTTTATAATAAGAATGCTGATTTTTAACAACAGATTAAGATGCATCTAAATTATTAAATGTGTTGTAAATTTGGAATTTTCCCAGAATATGAACAAGTTCCAATTACATTTATTAAGATATTATAATAAATTCAAATTAATAGTCATTAAGCAACAACAATTTAATAATACTTTTACCTTTGAGGATACAGTATATAATATTATAGAAATAAACAAAACAAATTTTAATTACCTCTACTTGAATTATCTTTGTGATTGCTTGAATAGCTCCTGCTTTTAATTCAGTTTTGGTACTAGTAGCAATACGACTTAATTCTATGATAAATATACTCCAAATGTCTAATTCGTCATCACCTATTTATAATAAATAATTAATTAAAATGTTGGATAAAAATAAATCATAGTTGAATATTATATCAAACATTCTTTAATATTTAAGCTAAACACTTTACCATCATAGTGTAAGATCGTACTGGCAGAAGGATTATCCAACAACATTTTACACTCCCAAGAAGATGCCAAATTAGTGATTGCATTTATAGCCACACCTACTAGTGAATCATCTCCTTCTTTTAACACTTCGTAAATTACAACAAACACTTTAGGATATGTTGTAAATATGAAAAGTGGTCTGACTTGAGTAATTTTTATGAAAAACTCCAACACAACTACAAACACATTATTTTTAATATTAATCATCATCATTTTAAATAATTACAAATTATTAAACTAGTACATACTAGGGTTAAGTATAACAACTGAAGGGTCATCCAATTCTTTTGGATTAGAGCTCAGTAAACGATACAACCCACTTATAATTCCAATAGAATTCAAATAATCGAACCCATATTCAGTGATACTCAAAGGAATTAACATTTGTATAGTAACCATTTGCATCATTACATCTGGATATGTGATGTCTTTCACCAAATTGGTAAAGAGCCCTTTGGAACTTATTAATGCTAAAGCATCCACAGACTCAGCCCAATGAATTAAAATCTGTAAAAAAAACAAAACATTTAGAAAAAATACTGATAGTTGAAATAATTTAGGAATTAGAAAATACCCAGTATAATCAATGATTTAATAACTACAATATGAGTGAATAACTCACATCATAGACGCGTGTACGTATTTTAGCATCCCTTGCCATTATGGTCTGTAACTTTGATAATATAGGAATTGATGAAAGGGTTTCAACACTTTGAAATTTTTTAAGACATTTAACTGCATTGTATGAAACAGTCATATCACTGCTTGTTAAACAGTCAACTATAGTACATGCCAAATCCACTTGGATATCCACATTATTATCATGGGCTAACATTTTTTCCAACTAATTGAAAAAAAAAATGTAATTAATGCATAGAATTACACTTAAGTACAATAAATAATATTCCATTAACAATATTCACCTCTGATAAAATTGTAGATTTAACTGTATCATTTGGATGATGTATAGCACGTTCAATACTGGCTGAATACTTATTAAATGCGTGATTTGGCTGTAAAATGGATAAAAGTTTTTGGAGCAATGCACAGCTCATTTCAATTTGTGTTCTATAAAAAAAAATTGAACAACTGCATTATAATAACTAATATTTAAAATGATATATCATGTAATATAATTTTACATACTGATCTGTAGTATTCAAGCAATCAAAAATAAGATTTAAATCTATGAGGTTTGCCGATTTTAATAAATCACAACGGTTCAATTTAGTGAGATAAATGTTGCAGTCGGTCAGTACATCTGTAACATTTGTGTTGTCGATTGATAGCTTATGCATTGCTAATGCAATCAAATTTGTATCAACTAAAACATAATAAAAAAAAGTTAAATTATGTAGTTTATAATATATGATTATTAATGTAAATGTACTAAAACCTAAACAGACTTAGATTTTGAGGAATCACATTTCACTTTTAAATTCTAAATACAGGGTGTCCCGTGAGGATTTACTCATTAGCCGTAGAGGTGGACTCACCGCCCGGACAAAAACCAGTTTATTGACATTTTACTAATAAACTAAAAAAATTATTAAAAATCATGAGATTAATGAAAATAAAATGTTAAAAGCTCAAAATGTTCACAAAAATATACTCTATAGAATGGCTATCTTCAATTTTTTCAAAAATAAAAAATAAAAAAATAATTTTTTTAACTTTTTTACTAAAAAATTTAATTTAATTAAAAAATAAAATATTTGTAGTGCTTACCTCTGCGAGTCTTAATAAAAAAACATAATTACGATATCTCCATTATTTCAGGAGATATCACAATGAGTAAATCCTCACGGGACACCCTGTATATCTGATAAAAAATTAATATAAGAAAATGTTGAAGAAAATATATTTAAATTATGTCAAATATAATTAGTATAGGGCTAAAGATATCTGTTGTTGAATTACATAGTCTAATTTTGCTGATTCTCTACTAGAAAAATACATAAAGCAATAATATTTATATGTTTACTATTACTACCACCTAGTTATTAAATTTTGAATTACTTTTTAACATAGATAATGTTTTTGTGTTTTGGCTAGATAATTTTTTTTTTTTTTGACCGATTTTGCTTAATCAAGTCTTATATATTTTTTTTTTGTACAATTATACACAATAAAAATATCGTACAACATATCTATGATTCCTAAATTTTCCTTGCAGAGAAAAAATATTGAGTAACATGGTACATTTGTTATGTTATTTATAGCAGTGATTAATGATCATGCAATCTTATGTGGTTACAGGGGCGAATTTACGGGGGCGGATATGAGGAGAAATTCTCAATTGTCAGTTAGCATTGCGTGGATAAAGTTTGTTTTGGACATAATGGGGAATTTTTCATGCTTAGCAGTTGGTAGGTACTTGTATATTTCTATTAATTAGTACACTCAGTATTGTGCCACATCAATAATGGTTTCAGTCTATATTTCAAACAAAAAAGTTATATTAATAACTTTAATATTATACGTATATTTATAAGCATAATATATAAAAGAGTTTAGGAACTAGGTTAGTACTTAGTCCAACAATTTTTGTACCATTTCTATGGACCGGGCCCTGGTAAACAGCCAAACAGTCAAACGGTAATGCATGTAGTGGTCACAAAAAGTTTGAATAGATATTAATGACTAAATAAAAATAATTAACAATACTACCAGACGGCTTGAAACATGTGAAACCTAGTTCTAATTACATTATTCAAATTATGTTCCAATATTAGGTAGTTAACAAAATGTCAGCCCATTACCTAAAAGTTGAATAATATTGAACTCAATAATCTACACATGGTAAAGTGGGAGCTCAGGTTGTACAAGCCAACCAGTGTCGGCCTGGTCACCAGCAGGTTAAGTTTATCCAGTGAAGGAGCCCCGAGCTTTTTTATTTATATACCATAGGTAGATGCTTAACAAAAATATGGCCTCCTAGGAGCCAGATCCACAACACTATAAGAGTTAACGCGCGTCACACATAATACAGACAGTATATTTTGCATTTTAAGTATTGTAGTTTGATAAGTATAAATCGTATAATTTATAAGTATAAGTATAAGAAGAAAATAATAACTAACGAGTATGTGTATTGTTACCGTCAACCGCTGTTAGATCCACAGACATGACTAGCGGTTCTGTAATGAACTTTTGGCGGAATTCGCGATGTCGATAAATCGAATGAACGGCGGTCTATCCGAAATTTATTATTACTCGGATATAATGGATTACTATGAATAGCAATGAAAATATACAACAGGTAATAGTGAATACTGGTTAATGGATACCGGTAACGTATGGTCTGTCAGTAAAATTTAAAACCAAATAGCACTATTGCTGTCACACTAGTCACAGCGTTCGGTGATCTCAGGCAGTCAGGTACCGGTGGCCGAGGTGCGCAGTGTTTGTTTTTGTTATTGTTTATATTTTTTCTGCGAAATCATTCAGGACAGCACGACCAACATGACGATACAACGCACACTGCAGTCGTCAGTGAATACCGATAATGGGATTTACGGCCACGACTGACAATCTAAAAACTCAAAATATTATAGAAAAATCAATAACAGTAAGAACTTCTTGACGATTGTTTGCTTTGAAGCACGA